TTGTTGTTATGATTATTATTACTATAGCTATTGCTATAGTTAGTTAATGTCTTGCTTTTAAAAAAAATTTCTTTTTTAAATCAAGCGGCAACAGCAGTAGCAGCAGCAGCATCTGTGATGATGTGAACAAACTGCTTATCGGGAATATTTTTTTAATGAGATAATTAAAAAAACAAAAAAAAAAAAATTAATTTTTTTAATGAAATTTATATGAGATCTTTACTGGTCGCATAAGTTATTAAACTATCTTCATAAAGATTAAAGTCTGAAATGCGTTTGTATGGAATGGGACTCGATTCGTTAGCGCACAGTTCATCATTTGCTGCCTCGTTAATGATTATCAAAGTGATAGTAGTTTGCTTTCAAGTGCTTAAAAAGTGCTTCAGATTGATTTTAAAATTCTTGGCTTTTCAATGAGATAAGAATTTTGAATAAATTTAAAATTAAATTCTTGATAAAAGAAAAGTTTATTGAAACATCGTTTCGGTTAACCATAGAAGCGATCGAAATTTTAAAAAAAGTTTCACAATAGTTGGAGCCTTGGCGCTCCATTAAATTCTCTACACCAACCCAGAGTTTTTAAAAATGAGACTTTATATAGCGTTCGCTTTTGATCCACGCCAATTTGCTGCCTCATTAAAATATCTCAAGAATTACGATTGAAGAGCAAACAAGATGCACAGATGGACGGATAAAATTCGATCAATATAATAAAAAGAGGGTCTGTTGCAAGTCCTTATGGATATTGCATAAATTCACATAGGCTCTTGTACCATCTCAGTACTCTTGTGAAATCTCAGAGTAGTACCAGCCGATAGTAACAGATAGAAAAGAAGTTACTTTCATCTCTTTCGAAGTTAGAAGCCTGAGCCCAACGTCGATCGTAGATACGGTAAGTTCGTGGTGCCTTTTGTTGTAGGTTAAATTTCAGTTAACGATTTTTGTTTGAGGGGCAAATCAAGCTTAAGTCATGTCGTGTCCTTTTAATGTTCCGTGATTACCTCATGGAATTTTACAACCTCAAACACCACCGCGCGGATCTGACGATGATACTTTGCAATGTTTTTGTTACGGTTTCAAAAGATGATAAAATATTGTGGAAGAAACAACTGGTATGCCGATGAGCGTACCCCTTGGACTTAGGAAGAATGGTTCCTCATAAATATATACAATAAACTCAGGTTCATGTTCGCTTCCTTCAATAATCACTATCAGATATAGCAGACAAGCTAAAGTTGGTCTAGCAAAACCCACATGTAAATTTTTTTTCTGTTTTAAAATGAAATTAAGATCAAACATGCAGGGTGTTCCAAAACTGTACGCAAAGATTGAGTTGAATAGAAAACAGAGTTATCTTTTTATTCGATCGGAATGTATACAGGGTAGGATTACGCGTGGGATAGCATATCGGCCAAATGACCCTCAGGGCTTTCGAGACACGTACTAACCCTTTTAACGGAATTGTCGAAGGACCTTGCGTAAATTTTGGGACACTCTTCGCGATTCCTGGCCGTCAAATTTTCATTATTATTATTTTTGAAATATTGTTGAACAACGGAAACAATGTGCTGCTCTCTTATGTAATGCCCCACTTTTCCTAATCCCAAACTGTGATTTGTCCAATTGTTGGCAACACTACCGCACAAACAGCGGCAAGTTCGAAACTTGCGTAAATTTTGGTAAACCCTGTTCTCAAAAAAAAGAAAAAAATTTTTTTTTTTAAATTAGTTCAAATTTGTTTTTTAGTACAGTGTTGTATTTTCTTCTTTTTTTTTTTTTTAGAAACAAATTACTTCAAAACCCTGCACAACCGACTGTATAATTATCTTACAAAGATAATAAAAAATTATTATCTTAACAAGTTGATATATTTTAAAAAATACAACTTTTTTAATCTTATTGAACGTAACTGATTAACAATTTTCTACAGAGCAAATAACAATGATTTATAGTATTTTAAATATATATTTATATATACATTTAAAATGTTTGATGAGAACGCACGGATCATGTGAAACGTATGAAGTTTATCAAATCTTTTTAAATATTAAAAGATTACACAAGCTAAGCATGCATTACTTTTAGGGATAAGACCACAACGAAAATTGAATAAAATTCCATAAACTCTTTTCTACAAAGGCGCCAAAAAAAAAGAAAAATTTGCCCTGTCTGCAGTCATTACAAATGTCAATAGCAATCGATTAAAAGTTTTTTTCGTTGTAAATTTTTAATACGAATTAGAAGAGATTTGATCTTAAAAATCGCTATAGCGAACTCTCGCTAACAACTTTCGACTAAGACTTTTTTTGATTTTCTGGCTTTTTTAAGACTTTGCACCTTTCACGCCTTAAAATATATGCCGCAAATATCTATTTCTCGTTCTTGGTTAAAAATTTCATTAATCTTTGTGTAAGTAGCGAAATTTGAAGCCACAATCACTCAGAGTTGTTTCCTAAGTGTGTAACACGGCGACGATCAGATGCGAGTGAGAAGAGTGCCATGGCCCAATCGGTAAGTGTTATGCCTTCACCTACTGAATTACGGCGAAAATAAACTCGCTCGCTCTTGAAATTTAAACACGCTACAATTGGCTTGGTAGTCGCAACTTTTACCTATTCGGCTATTCATGTAAATATTCTTAGAGTGCGCTTACGTGTAAATTTTCGAACCAATCTAATTGTAATTTGTTATGTATTTTTCTTCGAGTAATCTGAAATGTTGTTTTCAGAGTAGGGCGTTGGGAAGTGCTTGAAAGAAGTGAACTGCTCCGAACCATTTTCAGTAGCGTTCGTCCTTAGGTCAAAACACCTCACTCAAAAATTGCCATCTGTCACTTGAACACAAATTTACATCGACAGGTAGTAAACGGACAGGCAGGCTTAGGTCGATACGGAAATTACGGTTCGGATTAATATAATAAAAGATGGATCCATCTCAAGCCCTTCTACGTGTTGCATACAACTAACTTAATATACTCTGTACCGCAAGTGGTGTAGGTGTTTATCGGTTTTTTCCGCAAAAGAGGGAAGAAATCTCTTTTACAAGTTTGCCAGTAACTAATAATAATTCAAGCAAGCGGCTAATGCCAAGAGATTTGATTTAAATCTTCTTCTTTCCTTCTTTAAAACTTACAACATTTCCATCTTCTATTTCTCAGTTTCTTTATCCAGTCTTCCTTTTGTCATGCACCATATATGCATTGAGGAAAGAGAGACTTATGGAGAAAGCAAAATTCATTTGGTGACCCTAAGCATTTCTTTAATAAAAGGTAATACAACTCTAACTGGTAAACAGAAATTTTTACTAAAAAAAAACTCTTTTTAACCACTTTGTCCATCCATCAGGCAAATAAGATTTGCCCTCTTTGCCTACGAGGGCATGCTTCAAATGCCCTGAATACAATGTTTCCTCACATCTTTAGGAATTTAGTACGCTTCTGTTTGTATGATGTCAAGCTATTTTGTGGCTCAATCCCTGTAAAAAGTTTATCTTTTTTGTTTTTTTTTTTGCGTTTTAAGTTATTTGATATGCTTTGTGTGACCATTTAATTACTTTATGATTCTCACATAATAGCCTGAATGGAATTTTACCAAAAATGAAAAAAAAAAATTTTTTTGTTCTTTTCTTTTTTTGTTTTTAGGAAAAAACGAGTAAAATACCAAAAATGATATCTCGGCAAAAAGTTAAAAAAAAAAAAAAATAAAGAAAAAAATAAAGAAAAAAATAAGTGAAAAAACTTAGTAATCAAACATAGTAAAGTGTTCGATAAGCAACAAGTCACACACACATACACACACACACATGGAAGCATATTTATATTGTTTTCTAGGAATTAGGGAAATATGTTAATGTTTCTACCAAAGAGTATAATGTAAACAGAGAGTATGAAGGGAGTTTTTGTTGCGTCGCGCGCCAAGTTTTAATTTCTTTTTCACTTTTCCTCCCTCTTTTCAATTTCTTACACTTTAAACCGGGCCTTTAGGGAGCTTTGACATGAAGATTTCAAGAAGATTTAATTTTCGAATTCCCAAAGGCGATCTTTAGAAATCAATAGTGTTCGTAGCTTTTAAACGATTTTAATTTCTAAATAGTGACGCATTGTCCAGAAAGACTCATACAAGTTCCCAATTTTCATTTGATTCTTTTGATATACGTCATGTGTTGCTTTTTCTAGGGAATTTCGATTTCTTCTCATCGTCTGATTTTTAAAGATGTTTTTCTATCAAAATTCGTTTCTGACCTTGCTAAGCTTAAGAAAGAAATGATATGCGGAATGATGGTCAGCTATTTTTGGGTCGAATTGAAAGAAATGGATCCACGGAGAGGCTTCCATGGTACTTAACGAAACATCCAAAACCACATCACTACGGGGAGTGTCCTCTATATATGCAGGCAATGTGATGGTCAGGAAGGGGAAGAGAGGGACCAGTGTTCTTCCACATTCGACTTGAAAGTGAAACAAAAGAGAGCCGGCGGTAAAGACAATTGCATGTAAATTGCTCTAGAGAGAGGCGGTAGAGTTAAAGAACGACAAGGTATGACGGCAATTTCAGATTGAGTGAGTAACGAAAAGTCCAAGTTTTCTAAACACATCATCTAAATAAACATAGCCCTATTCAGATTACTTCGATGGTCAATTGTTACGAAAATGTTGAATACGTTCTCGTCATCCACGACTGCCTGGCACGCATTACATTTCATACAGTCGAGTTCTCCGAGGCAAGTCTTGCCTAAGCTCCCGCCTTAACCTACAATCTATCGAATATAGCCTGATCTAGACCGAATATAGGCGCTCGAAAATGGAAGGGATATCAACTTGGGCGCAGAGCATTTCTAGTTTATATGCTATTTGAAATAAAATTTTTAAAATCGCTACCTTCTCAATCTAGCCTGGAAGCACACTTGATTGTGTATACAAATTATATAGGTCGTAATTCGTCCATTTTTCCTTGTCGGATTTCGAGAAATATTTGTTAATTATGTATAATTTCATATTACACCTGCATCCAAAGAGTGTACCAAGAGTTCGACACAGTTAATTGGTTAAATATCTTCAAAGTTTCGGGTTAACATGAGAAAGCAACCTTCGATGGTATCAGCGAAATAACTTTATTTGAACTTTATTTTTAATATTGATATCGTTTAGCTCAGGGCGCGATTTTTGAGACCAAGTAAGTGCCTTTTGATGCCACAGAGCAACACGAGCACAAAGACAAGAACTGTATAATTGCGAAAACCATCTTTGATGCAAGAGGCGCCCTTGTGAACAACCTTCGTATAAATGTAAACCTTTTACTAAATTTTTTAATTTTTTTTTTTTTTTTTACCTATTTTTTATCATTATTTTTATGCTTTTGTTTTTAAATTTTAAAATCAGTTTATAGTTTAATTCACAATTTATTTTAATTTTATTCTTTACTTAATTTATTTACTGTTTATGGTATAGTGAGTAAACATACACATATATCAATTATTTTTTTTATGCATAATTATGCATTGAAAAACAAAATTGTTCTTGTTTATACAACAACAATTGCAATAAAGTGATTTTTTTCAATTTATTTCATTCACAAGAACAGACAATATTTATTTATATACATAGACAGTTTTGTTTTTGTTTTTAATTAAATTTTTCATTTAATTATTTAATTTTTATTCGCATTCTCTTTACGAACATTTCGAACCGGTTGTTTGACTGATACTGAATTGAATAACTTGAACAATTCTCGGATATAAACATACGGAGACAAGAAATGATTTTGAAAAGGAATGAAAAGGAGAGAAAAAAATGTTTGTTCGTTTATTTTGTTCTTGTTTTCTTTCAATCGTAAATGTAAAGCACATGTTTTATTTTGATTCTCTCACACACACACGCATGCACGCACACACAAAAACACACTTGTGCACACAACTCACGCGCTATATTGTGTGTGCATGTATAGGAATGATTGACACGTAATGAGAAGAAGGAAACAAAACTGCATAAATGAAAAAGCCGTAGAAATATATTAAGCGAGAGAGAGGTTTGAGTGTGTGTATGTGTGTGTGTGTGTGTGTGAGGAGAGAGCAACAGTTAAAGTAAAGAAAGCAAATGCGAGACTTTTCACACCCACCACAAATACTATCGCTAACTAAGTAGTAAGCCAAAGTGACTTAGTAAGTTATCAATCTTAACGCAGTCTTTAGTAAGCACGCAGTGTTTTACTGAAAATAACTTATCGTATTAAATACTAATAGCAAAAAAGCTCATAAAAAAGCTATGCAAAGGGTGCATCAAATAATTAATTAAACTAGCTGCCCTTGGCTCATTGGAAGAAAAAAAGGAACACTGTATAGTAGGGATGATTACTTGGTTCTTGAATTCTTTTAAGGTCACAATGTGTGATGTTACCCGGTTTTAAACTTGTTGTAAGGATAAGATTTTATAGGATTTTTTTTTTTTTTGATGGGGAAGGTAATTTTTTCTTGCCTCTTTTTTAGGCTATGGAAAAACATTTACCCTAGTTTCTTCTCACAAACTTTACCATTTCATCAGAAAGAATCAACTGTTTTAACGTCTCGTAAACCAATTGTGGTTACCCGTCACAGACAAATTTGTCTTTGCAGTATTTAAATGTACACAATAGAGTTTCTATAAAGTAGTTCAATGACCTCAGCATAAAATTCCACATCGATCAATGCCTACTGCCATCTGTCTGTTGGTTGCCTCCGTCCATCTGTCTGTGCCTTGCAAGACTAACGATTACAAAAACTGAGATAAAAAGTTACAAATTGGCACAAATCAGATTCATCAATGCTTACAATCTGCCGTTGATCATGTTCACGTTAGTCAAAAAACTGTAACTTTAAAGTCCTAACACTCGGTTACGGCCTAATTCTTCTAAGAAAGTATATATTAATAATTACAAACATGGCGACAATCATAGTAAAGAAGACATACGATGTATACGTATGTTTATATATATATATATCCTACCGTAAGGAGCATTGATCTGAGACTGCAGATGTTTGCTGAAACAAGTCACAAATGCCAGTATAAAAGCGGTTTCAACCTTACTTTTCACATATCTGGAATTTTAGTAAAGGATGGTGGATAGCGGAATCCCGCCTTTAACTAGCCGCGACTTTCTTCTTTGGGATGTAAAGGCAAAGACAGTCTCCTTTATCTATAATCCTACTTGGCTGGTCAAATGGGAAAATTAAAAAAGGTTTGTCCCATTACGGTCAGATGTTATTTAGTCACCATATTTATCTTAAAAAAAAAAAAACTCGAAAAAAAAATTAAATTTTGACATTATGATATTGCGTGTATGTTCCCGACCCTTTTTATTATTTTTCAACAAGCAGTGTATAAAATATATATGGAAATTTTTCTAGTTCTGTTATATTTTTTTTTTGCTAAATGAAAAAAAAAATTTTATTTTTCCAGCTTTCCAAGTCGAAGCTGTTCAAGACCTGCGAATAATTGGACCCATTTTCCATTCTAGTATGCCTGCAAGAACTTCCAAAGTTTTGCCAAATTTGAGGTAGATATCTTCAATTTTTTACTACAGACACTTTATAGTAGTTCGGACAGATGGACGGACATGCCTTGATCGATTAAGAATTTAATACTAATTAAAAGTATGCATAGAGTCTCAAGGTATCTTCCGCGATAAATGGATATAAGCCCGCGGGCATAAATAAAAAATTTTTAAAGAGGAGTCTTATCCTACCTAAAGGAATGACGATTTTGAACGCGCCTGAATTTTTTGTATTTAGGTGCAATGTGTCTGACACAACTTCTTAATTCTCAATAAATAAATAAAACTCGAAAAAATTGTAAACGTTTAACTTGAGTCTACACCGTGTACTCTACTCTACCCAATCATTATAATTTTCCTGAAAAATCGTGTCTTTCGACAGTAGGTAGCAATGCAATAAATTCACAAACCTGCAGCAAAATTTCGTTAACTAAAGTTTTATGGTCAGTTGAATATTATCTCTGTCAGTGTTATCTATGTATTTATCAGGTAAACTAACCTTCAATGATGAGTACCTAAGAATAAGATAAAAGAAAATCAACGCTTAACTTACACAACCAGATGAAAGAGAATAAGGGTGAAATTGTAAAAACAAAAGAACAAGAAGAAGAAGCATTAATATAACAAGCTGTTAAGCGTCACTTGTAGGTTTTCAGAGAGCACACTTTGCTCATAGGATGAATATGAAATGAATTGAAACAGACAGAGAAAGAGAAGACACGAGGTAAAGTTCAACAGTTCAATGCACAATTGGCGCCAAGTTCGTGCACGCATGGTGTGCGCGAGTGTTTATTGTTTATTACGTTACATTTGACACGTAGACAACAACTACTAAGCCTCTAACTATAGCTTAGTACTTTTAATAAGATTTCCAAGAACAATTCACAGTTAATTTAAGTAAATTTAATTTAAAATGCATGTAAAAGATTTTATGTAACAACAACAAAATACACATACCTATAACTATTAGAGACGATTAAGAGAAATTCATGTTAAAAACGAAAAACCAAAGCAATGAACACACATGTAGGCGTACGACAAAAAGAGTTTTTCGTATATGTCGCTGCATACGTGTGCTGTACGATCCTTGCATTCGACAGTGTTGGATGAAAAGGTTTGGTGCCATATGATATTTAAAGAGCCTTTAGAATTGTGAATCGAAAGTTACTTTAAGATGCCTTTGCTCTTTTTATTAAGTTTAGATGAACATGGACCATAAATTAGGCAAGCCCACTTAAGTAGTCAGTAGATTTGCTAGTGAACCACAGATTTATTTGCGTTGCGAAATAATGGAAGTAAAGGACGGAGTCCTTCGATTATTATTTGTAATACTTTCGCCAAAAATTTCTACGGTAGAACCCATGGAAAAAAAGATGGACTCCCCAGATTATCCAATGAAACTTTCTACAAAAATTTCGATGGTATGACCCACAAAATGTGTTGCATGGAGAAACCAACCCAGCTGAAAAGTTGCTTGCATTTATTTATGACTGTAGAGGACGGCCTCCGCTCAGGCATTTCAGAAAAATTGCAAAATCCGGTCTCTCCAGTAAAGTAAATCCTACTTGCAATTGAAAGACAAGTGAAAGCATTGCAGTGAGCCATAGCCGGTCGCCACCACTTCGCTTAATACAGTTATTTATGTGACGACTTTTTAAGATATGGGCTTTTATGAGAAGTGAACGAAAAACTGATGCGGTTCGAACCATTTTCAATAGTGCTTGCTTGTCTGCCCAAACTAAGTGAATGAAATAAATCTGAAATAGATCTATAAATAATAATCAAGATTATGAGACGGACAGATGGACAGAGAAATGTAGATCGAAAGTGTTTCCAAATGGATAGGTACAATAAAGCTAGGGTCCCCCTTAAACCCTTTTAGGGGTTCTCGGCATCCCCACAAACTTAATTTGTCCTTGCACCAACATGTGGTGCAGGGTGTAAAAGAAAAAAGTAAAACAAATCAAAATCATCCCACATTTTGTTACCATATTCTATACCTTGTCATAAGATTGTACTAAGCATTAAGAGGGACGCCGATCAGATTTTAAGCGGGGAATCGAAGAAAAAGCAGACCGTTTGACAATGCCAATCAGCCAAGAGACCTTCAATAAATTGCTTAGAACGACTACTCATGTCTTTGACATTCTGAAACAGTAGACCAGCGGATGATTGTTTTTTCACGCCTTAACCTCAACCGTTAACGTTCACAAATAACCAGTTTCCCCCCAATCTACCATTGCCGAGTAATCGGCCATTCCTCGTGCAATCGGCAAAAGTTCTTCTAATGAAAGCACTTCAAAAAAAAAAAAAAAAAAGTTGAGGCTTTTTTTTTCAAGTCAGTGTTGTACTCACTCGCTTTGTTTGCTTTAATGAAAACAAAGCAACAACGAAAACAATAGCGAGACGATGCGAAGAATGTTGAATAAAATGAAGTGCAAAAAATTGCACGAAAATCATAAACAGAACAAAAGAGCTTAGAAGAGAATTAAGAAACGAACGACGATATATAAATAAAATTGCTTTACGTTAACTTACAAAAAAACCAACAAAATAACATTAGCAACGTACCCCGTGCCATTCATTACAATCGTATTACACGGGGAATATGAATGAATAAATGAATGAGTGCATCACGTACATGTATATATATATATATATATATATGAGAGAGTTCGCATGAACAATATGCGCAATATACCGCAAAATAATTTTTGCATTTTTTGCAATTTGTTTTTGTTATTTTGTCTTTTAATGGGGGTGGGTGTTAATGTAATGTATTCTCTTATATATATACATATATATATATATAGTATGTTCAAGGTCATTGCAAGGTTGTACGTACACATATATGTATTTTGTTTTCAAAATGAGTGATAATAAAATCCTTAAATCTGTGATTGTTTGAAGAGACAAATAAAAAACAATGAAATGAAACTGTAACCAAATGATATTTTTAAGACGTAAAAGAAAATAACGGTATAAGACACTTGGAAAAATTTCTTATTCATAGTATAGTAAAAAAAAAAACGAGGCAAATTATGTCAAAATAATGCAACCTATGGATATGGAATCGAGAATTCCAAATAGCGGTATATTTTTCTTGAATTTACTTTTTATTTATTGCAATTCTAATAAGGGATAAGTTCTTTCATTAAAAAGATGCTCATCGAAAATAGAATCATTCCTTTGTAGACGAAGCTCGAAGGACATCACGCTTTAGTTCCACATGTGCAGCCATTTGTTTTGCTGTGCCTGGGAACGTCTATTTTTTGGAGCCTAATCCATATAAGGGTTCTAATGAGAGATAAAGCTTCGTCTGCCAAAAAACGTGTAATTTTTAATATTTTATGATGTATGAATGATGATTAGTATATTAACCATAGGGAATTTGGATCATATAGATCTATTTTTAAAATGCCCTCATACCCAAAGATTCTTACGAGCTCTATAAAGCTTGCTATGGCGACAAGTCAAATTTTTTCTTTGTTATGACGGAAGCAAGTGGAAAATAATAAAATCTTGAATAGGTAGGTTAAGCCTGCTTAATTTGGACCATGTCATTCCCCAATTTATCCCTCAATATAAGGCTTTCATAAAAATTATGCAATTACATAAAAACTGACGTATTATTAAAAAACTTACTGAATGTAGGGTATCTAATGGTCGGGCGTTCGTGACTATATCATTCTTACTTGTTTTCTCTAAATTATAAATGAATTATGTATTAATGTGTTTTCCATGTAATCGATCGTAAAAATATCAGTTTTATTGGCAGACATTTCATGGCTGCGTAAAGATTGACTGGTTTATAATAACAGTTCCATTAAACGTTGTTTTGCAAAGAGATATAACAAAAATCGCGAACACTTTATACGTAATTGCATTTGCATAAGGAAAGAGCAACGAGACAATTCTTTATATCAGCTTAGTAATGCAAGTACAAATTAGTAAGAAATAGTCATAGTGGAGTCTATGATGAATTTTAGATGCACTTTAATCCAAGATGAATAAATGAAAATTTCATTTAATGCCAGAGATGTTTCTAAGGTAAGTCTGATGCCTTCAAAGCTAATCATGTTCCCATTCTTACGGTATGTTCATGGTATTCTTATGGCCTTTCGCAAATGACTTCTTGTTTCTCCAGTTATTTCATTTATATAGTCATCATGGGCAGGTTAGGTCCATTTTCACAATAAGTCTAGACGGGTTAACTATTATTATTATTAATTGCGTGGGAAATCCGTACAGCGACCTGAAAGATCAACTGCACTCGCACGTGCCCTTAGTCCTCCAGTCATCTTCTTTGGATCGGAGCACCGTACCATGTTTTGGGATGGCGATGAATTTCGACTCGTTATTAAGTTCGAAGTCTCATACCGTGTACGGCGTTGTAAAATGTTCGCCAAGCTTGGTGTCTGATTCTGCATGCGGTCTCATATTCATGTAATGGAAACTCTCAATTGTTCTTTGGCAGAATCTGCATGAATCGATATATAAGATAATCATGTTTCTCAGGTGGTGTTTGAGGGAACTATGACCCTGTGACCAAGCGTGGGTCGTTCCTTTCTTAGTGTTCTTACTACATACATTTTTTCTTTGTTGATATTCCTCATTTGTTGTAAAGTTGGAGTTGTAAAGTGGTTTTTGTAAACCTACAAAAGTCAATTCTCTAACTGTCCCAATTCGGTTTTAATACGTCTGATTACCAGGATGTCGTGAAATACATCATAATGGTGGATGGGACTTGGATCTGAAGATACGATGCGGAAACAATCGTACAATCGAGCGAGCATCGAGACCAAAGGTCCACCAAGACTGAAAATCATCGCGTCGTTGCGCATTATGAATTTCTTCCGTCAAGTCGAATTGCTAATAGGGATCACTGTGTGAGTGTTCAGAAGGTGATGAAATTAATTTGGTAGAATAAAAAAAAATTTTTTAATTGTATAAACAAATTCACCTTACTTTTTGATCACAATAGTAGATGAATTGTAGGTGCTTAAAATTCAGATTTTACTATTACATTAATTTTATGAGGGTAAGGGGGAGTAGTGTTCCTATAGTAACCTAAACAATGTGTTTTTTTTCTTTTGGGATGAAAGTGAGGGATGTAACCACATTTGAAATTCATCCTACGAACTTATTGAATGAAGTGCTACATACATATATAGTCTTTAATTCAAATTGAAGAGTTCGTGACATGTGGACGAAATTGTTGTTAAAAATAAGTTCCTATAACTCGTTGTGAAGAAGTTCTTTTAAACTCTACCTACAATTGCTGCCCGATCTAGAATCCAATTTTAGAAATACTAAGAGAGCTGATAATATATTATGATGAGGAATCAAGGGCATTGAAGAGAAAAGTTTCCTCTATACGCGTGGAGTATTTAAAAATTCCCCCTCTCTTTTTTATTTTAGCAAATTTTTTCTATAGAAAAACAAAACAAAAGTAAGAAAATGTTAGGACGCGATCGAGTCCTTTATGACGATCAGCATTTGATGCAAACCAACAATATGTAGTCTTTATATAGTCTCCGAGATTTCTTTCTGGATGCTGCAGCTGTTTGGATAAAAGAAGGAGATTTTAATATTCTACAATATTGAGTAGGCGTGGTCAAATTTCTTTTACATGTGCTACATACCCACCCACAGAATAGAAAAAGCAGATTTTTACGGTTATACTTGTTGTGGTTTATAAGTAATGAACAAAAAACCAAGTTTTTGTTGCTTTTAGAACTAATGGTGGCCTTAGGTTATGATGTACTGTGGTAGTCGTGTCCTTTAATAGATTTGGCTTACTTTCAATAGCAACATACGTCTAAGAACTTTCAATCCTTGTGCTAAATTTTAAATAGCTTGCGCTTCCTAGGAGAATCTTCACCACGGAACATTGCACGGACGCACATTTTTTTTCTTTGTAACCTAAACAATCACTTAGGAAATTTCCCTGGTGACACAGTGACAGAAGTCAAGAAAGAGAAGGAAAAAAGCAGGGGGTGGTCGTAGCCTCATGCAGACAGACAGACGGAATTCCATGTTGATAAAAACTAATGGGGTCTCTTAACGTTCTTTCTGGCTAATGCAAACGTTTCGATAAAGCAAATATATTTCTCATCTTTCGGTAATAACTGATAAACCGTCTTCCGACCGATTTGGCTCAATTTCTATACCAAGCAAGAACTTCTAAGCCTTTTGCCAAGTTTCAAGCCAATCGCTGAAATTTTTCGACCACAGACATTGCACAGAGAGACAGACAGACCTACTGACATACCTAAATCCATTTAGATCTAGAAGTTTATTATTGATGAAGTTTCTGAAGCTTTCCCCTTGTGGCTGCAAACCTTTTGGAAAAATGAAATTGATAAATTGAGATGGTCTCGGGTGCACTGTTGTTGTGCCTTTCGGACGTTTTGGCTCAGTTTCAAAATCAATCCACGTGCGAGAACTTCAAATTCTTGTCCTTGTGGCAAATTTGAGGCTAATTCCCGCATTTTTGCGACCACGAGAATGTTGTCCACCGATATTGCACAGACAGACGGACATGTTAAAACAGGTTTAGAATTTGATGCTGATCGAGAATATACATCTAATTTATAGCGTCTCTGAAACTTTCTTTTCGGTGTTGCAAAAGTCGTGATAAAATGAATATGTTCCACCTCGTTCGGTTATGGGTATAAAAAACCGCAGCTTATATCAAACATTTAAGTACAACAAGAATTTATTGAAAAGAAGCAGAGCGTAAGTGAATGTTAAAAAACAAAAAAAAAAGTCGTAATATTTTTATAGTTTTGTTTACTTCAGGAAATAGTCGCACTGTGTTACAGATATTTCCAAGCTCAAGAGATAAATATTATCCAAAAAAGTGATATAATAAAATATTTTATTTATTGCTACGACATGAAAATTAATAGACTTTTCTTAAAGAAAGCAGAATTTTCAAAAAAAAAAGGAATTTTTTTTTTATACAAAATTTGATCATTAAATAAAATTATTAAAAATTTTAATACTTGCTGTGTTTGTGTTTTTCTAAACAAATGAATAAATAAATTAAAAATTTTTACTTACTTTGCACAGCCAATTGTTGTTGATGGGCGGCTGCACGCTGTCAAAGAAAAGAATATAAATAAATAATAAATTAATAAAAATTATTCTTATTTGCATTTTCCTATGATGATGATAATAATAAGGAATTGAAATGAAAACTAAACAACAAATTAAATAAATAAATAATAATAATAATAATAATTATTGTTCATATTCTTTACATTTTGTAATAAAATTCGTACACCGCTATTTTCCAAAGCTTGTACGTCTAGCGAATGACTCCGACCACGTGAATTGTATTTATTCGCGCTAACAACAACGGCCGGCGGTATGGGTATAGCTAGGGTCGGCGTTACAGTAGGTGGTGAATTTTTACTTTCCGAATGCCGTGATATCCAGCGTTTAACGGCAGACATTTTTTTTCTTCTCTTCTTTCAAAAACAATTTCACAAAAATATAATGAAAATTTTTCCTTATTTTTTTTATTTTTAATTTCTTTTTCGCACAGATTATTAATTATTTTTTACATTTTATATGTCCATCAATATTATACGCACACTGTTTTCTTCTTTATTTGCATATATTTACATATATGTACATATATATATATATATACGCATTTATGACGAAAGCTTTAAACCGGCTAAATATGAGAAAATAAAACATGAAAGCTTTTAATTAAGGTGACCAAAGTGCTTCAATTCAATGCGTTTTTCCGCATGTTGCCGCATGAAATAAAGTTAACTAAGATCTTTTTCAATTTTGGTTTTTTTTGGTACCCATCGTAAAGAGATGAGAGGTATGCTCACTTTATCGAAACGTTTGCAGCAACCAAAGAGAAAGTTCAGAGAACCCCTAAGGTATATAAAAATAGGAATTATTATAATTATCCGGGGGCCATCTGTATACATCTATACCAAAGTTTAAGATCTGTATACATCTGTTTGCTCTTTATTGCAACGATCTGTTTATAGTGAACAATTTTATCTTTTTATACCGGGATTGTATGGTTCGGCATGTGTATGCTAAGCCGTACGTGCATATCATTTTACCGCGTATTTGAATGAATGACTAAATAAATAAATAAAATTAATATATTCTCTGGATCAAGCATCAAGTATGTCCATCTGTCTCACTGTAAAAAACATTCTCTTGGCCGCAAAATTAAGGCTATCGACTCCGAATTCGGCGGAAGCATTGGAAGCTATTGCACACAGGTCCGTATTGAAATTGTACCCGCCGTAAAGTGTAAAGTGGACACACATTTATTTTACCAAGCAACAATTTATGGTTTTTTGCTTTTTACTCAAAGACAGAAGGCTGAAATTTTCATTATATACTTTATGAAGGACCCTGCTATTGCTAATGTTCGGAAAGGAAAGCTAAACGAGACAGATTTATTATCTGCCTAGAAATGTGTTCGTATTAAAGTAAATACAATGGATCCCACAACGTGGATGAGGATTCGTGTTTTCTTAGCCGTGTATCAAATTAAAACAGTTGAAGATTAGAATGCGACGATGAAATATCATGGACGTCAGGTAATAATAGATGAACAATTTCTTCTCAATTCGATATGTCGATATAGGCAACAAATGAAAGCATTTGGAAAGCAGATATAGATGGATGGATGGCTTTTAGTCCATAAATTACAGCACGTATTCTACGCAATGTTATAGAGTATACAGATTAGAGAGATTTAGTTTTCGTCTTAATCCGCCTGAGTGGCCGAAGGCGAGGAATCTCGACTAGCAACTCAAAGGTCGTGGGTTCGAATCTCAAGTGCGGTAGAGTTTTTAATAAAAGCCGATAGTCGTAGTGCTGTAAGAGTTTAGTCTTAGAATTTATTTCTCTGGCGAAATTAATAATGATAATAATAATAATAGTTTTCGCTTTTTTTTTAGTCTTTTTCAGGATAAGGAGGATGGGTAAGATAAGAGATAAAAGGTTTGGTCGCGGCCGAATTCAATTTTCTTACTAATTTTCTGATATTAAATTTTCTTATACAAAGTAAATGAAAGAAGTCGTTGTCCTTAAAGTCTGTCAGCTTAGTGAAAGAGAGGAATATGGAGTTTTTGTGAACTAAGATTTCAAATTCCAAAGCAGAGATTAGTCTATCATGTTTTTATAATTTCACACCAACTGGACAAGGACTACATTGACCTGAAGAAAATCAAACTGACGAGGAAAAGATTAGTGTGGTTAGGCCTAAGGCGGTAAATATATCATAACTATATAAAAAGTAATAACTTTTTCAACTAGAAACTGGTCCCCGTAATGCTTTATTTTCTCTATATATACTCGACGATCAGTTATGGGTTATCAGTTATATCGCCCGAATGAGAAATATTCAACATTAGCTGGCTATATTGCTGCGACCAAAGTGAACTGTGCCGCGCTTGAGTTTTGACCCGGCAAACACGCACTTGGTAGTCGTTACTCTTATTTCGGCTACTCACGCGGGCACATACAATAAATATGCAGAAAGTAATCAAACCTTCGTTGAGTGGGACCCAAAGCCATTTTATTTTCTGTGTACACTTTTCGATCGTATTCTGTTAATAAATCAGGTGCTATTAACAAAAATACTCAACATTTTTCAGTTTTTTGTTTTGATTTTTCGTTCTCATGTCTATGCCAAGTAACCAAAATGATTTACTGTAGAATTCTATTTACGTCCTCCATCTACAACCTTCTGACTATAGCTCAGGAAAATGGGAGAACATAATTGAAATAACTCAGAATCATACATTGATTGAAAATACCAATATCCCGCGATGTGAAGGTGCTTCAAGCAAATCTCAAGCAAACTTAGGAGATTCGAATAGTTCTGTCCTAACAAATACCATAAAAAACACTATAATGCGCTGTGCAGGTGGAATTTACCGTCTTCCCTTTTCCCTCTTATGGTCACATGATCATATCGCAACTGTGTATTAGAAAAGTTCTTAACACTAAACGATATATGTCAAGACCAATAGCGGATATAGTCACTAATGAAAGTCATCGTCATTTGGCTCGTTATTATGATACAGAGGGGACAGGTATTTAAAATACTCTTCGCTTATTTATTGATGGAGTAAGTGCACTACCACTCATTGCGTATACTCTTGGTTCTCTTGTATTCTCCAAAGAATAGATATTTGGATTAACGGGAATTAAGGCGTTGAACAGCAGTGGATTCTGGGCTTATTCTCAAGAACGGCGCCTTACAAGGACCTTACAATACATCACCGAGATCTACTAAATAAATGTAACTTGTAAGCTATTCATCCGAATATAATGAAATATCGATACATCCCGTTTGAAGATTGATACTATCTAAAAATTCTATGAATATTGCACCAGTGGCGACATCTATATATCTATCCTACGAACTTATTGAGTAATGTGCTATTTAAGGACTTTAAGCCTCAACTAATTAGCAATTAAAGAAGTGCTCTGACAGTCTTGTCAGGCTTAAGACAATAATAAGCTGAGGTCACTGCATCAAGTAAGTGGAAACTGGCTGACACAGCAAGGCCCTAACAAAAGGCAAACTTGAAAGACATCAGACTAATGTTTTTCAATCAATTAGGACAAGTAAGGCAACTCGACGTGATGACTAAGAACCTCTTTTCGCTTTCTCGGTATAATCGTTTCTTCTCTCTCTCTCTCGCTCTCAGCCATCAAATATATTTGCTAAAGTGTTCTTGCCAGACATGAAAAAATTAAAACAAATTTAAAGATCTGCCCTCACACGATTCTTAGACGAAAACGCAAAAGTAAATTTGGTTTAACAACAAAAAAAAAAAAAAAATTTATTAGAAAAAGCTCAACAATAAAATTGTGTCGCGATTATGAACTTATCGCAATAGTAATTTTAATGTAAACTGCGCTAGACAAATAATATAATTTACAAACGACGAGCTTAAAGTGTATAATTAGCGGCAATGATTGCAATTTATATACACTGCCCACTACCTATGAGCAGACAGGGGAAAATCAATTGAGATTACATTAAATAATCATAAGAAATTATTACCCATCAGCAATAAAAGGTCAAGTTTATGAGAAATAAATAAAATCTTTGCACAAGAGATTTAAACAGATTTCATAAGTACGTACGATAGCACTATGAGAACCTGGTTATATAGCAATTTCATCAAATATGTGTGTGTGTGTGTGTGTGTGTGTTTTTTTTAAAGGAATAAATGAGAAAATAATTCAATTTTATTTACAAATTTTAATTGCTTACAATGCGATAATAGTAGATCAAGCAGAAACACGCTATAGTGGGTCGCAGTCAATCATTAAATACCCTACACTACTCTGCAGTCATTCATTCTTATACAGATTTTTCAAATTAACGGGTTACAAAGGAAGGAGGTGATCGAAAGAGTCAAAATTGTTTATCCTTAGGCCAAAAGATGGCGGTATGCAATAAACTCTTTCAAAAAAAGCTTACTTTTCATAAGAATCCTTGTACATTAGGAAGTTTAAGGAATAGATCTATGTGACTCAAGAACCCTATGTTTGATTTACAAAGCATAAATTTTTATTTGGCACACAAATCATTGGCATACATTAGAACCCTTAAGTTACGGTCCGAAGACGGACCGATTTGGTCAAAATTCGTTAGGTTTAATAAGTGATCCGACCCGAAACATTATCGATAGAGTTCCTCCTTGAGCTAAAACGCATCTTTCTACCGAATTTTCTCAAAATATGTGACATGTAGATTAAGTATAAGAACAGAACACGGACCGATTGACAGACAAGCTAAAAATAAGGTCAAAGCTGTATCTATCTCAAGTCCTTTTCGCTATTGTAAACATGCGAACAAATTAAATATGTGCGTGTGTCGCAAGTTTAGAAATAGATCCGACCCGAAACATTATCGGTAGAGGTCTTCCTTGAGCTAAAACCCATCGTTTTACCAAATTTTCTCAAAATATCGGGAAATTTGCGACGTATAAGTTAAAAATAAAAGCACAATACGGAAAAGCTGCAACTATCTCAAGTGCCTTTCGGTGTTATATACATCAGAACAAATTTAATATGCTCTCGTACAATAAA